TTCAAGCGATTCTTCCTGCCTGAGCCTCCCAAGTGTCTGAGATTACAAGCACGTGCCACCACGCCTGGCTAATTTTTGTGTTTTTAGTAGAGACAAGGTTTTGCCATATTGGCCAGGTTGGTCTCGAATTCCTGACCTCAAGTGATCCTCCTGCCTTGGCCTCCCAAAGTGCTGGGATTATAGGTGTGAGCCACCATGCCCGGCCACCAAGGGCTTCCTATAGATTTCATTTAACAGAAGGAAGGGAGGGGAGAGGGAGGCTGTGGTAGAGGCTGGGGGATTTGAGCAGAGGCTGTAGAGGTTGCTGTGTGGGAGGAACGGGTCCCCTCCGGTTCCCTGAGGAGGGCTGGGAGATGCAGCGAGGTCTTCCTTACGTGATTTTCTAGGAAAATGTTGCCCACATCTGGACCCCATGGTACCTGGGCTTTGAGAGTTAGCAGAGCCTTCCATGATGTCCCAGATGGATCCTGCAGAGGCCTCAGTAGAGATGGTGTAGCAGGGAGGGTGTGGGACAGGTCTGGGTGACTTGGGACATGGAGCCAACAGGATAGGGTGTCCCTGGCTTCTTCTCCCCAACAGGCCACATCAGGATGTCCCAGGGAAGTAACACAAACCCGAACTGTGTGTGCCCCTCGGTCCGGAACCTCTGGTCTCTGGAGCAGGCTCGGATCTATGGAGGGTTTTTCTTTGGAGCTTCCCTGGGACGTCCAGTGCGTTCTGGGCCGCACCAGGCTGCTCTCTGCCCAAAAGGAGACTCCCACACTGAGGAGCCACTGGCCAGAGGACTGCCCTGCGGGGAGGCAGACCTGGTTCTCAGACACTTGATGTGGGCAGGGACTGGCCGGCCTCTCCCTTAGCAGGGAGGAGGTGTGGTGTGGAGGGACGGCTGTCCCTGAGGAGGTGCAGCGTGGAGGGACCGCTGTCCACGTGGCTGTGTTTGACTTGGGCTCCTGGCTGGCTCTGCCACTTCTTAGGTGGGTGGCCCGACTTCTCTGAGCTGTGCTCGTCAGAGGACGGGGAGGACGATGCTGCCCAGGGCTGTCGGGAGGGTAGGCTGAGACTGCGTAAAGTGTTTGCACAGTACCTGCCAGGGGCAAGGTGGGCATCATTAAAAATAATCCAGGCTGGCGGTGGTGGCTCATGCCTATAATCCCAGCACTTTGGGAGGCTGAGAAGGGAGGATTGCTTGAGCTCAGGAGTTCAAGGCCTGCCTGGGCAACATAGCAAAACCCCATCTCTCAAAAAAAGAAAAATTAGCTGGGCATGGTGGCTCACACCTATCGTCTGGTCTGCTCAGGAGGCTGAGGCAGGAGGATCACCTGAGCCCAGGAGTTTGAGGCTACGGTGAGCTGATTCCAGCCTGGGCCACAGAGCGAGGCCTTGTCTCTAAACAAACCAAAACACATGAATCCTGGCGTATGCAAAGCGCTTAGTCATAGGTGAACTTAAATGGAAACTGTTAATTGAAAGCAGGGCTTTGGCTGGGCGCCGTGGCTCACGCCTGTAATCCTAACACTCTGGGAGACTGAGGTGGGTGGATTGCTTGAGTCCAGGAGTTTGAGACCAGCCCGGGCAACATGACAAAACTCTGTGTCTACCAAAAATGCAAAAATTAGCCAGTCTCATAACCCGGTCTCAAAAAAAGAAATTTTTTTAAAAGTTAAAAAAAAAATTGGAGGTTACATGGTTGTGGATGGGGTTTTTTTCTGTTGCCTAGAAATCGTATCTAAGGCTTAAAGGTGAAAATAGAAAGTACCAAGTACTCCCATGATTGAGGGTGGGACATAGCCTCAGAACGCTGGGGTCTGATACCTGCCTAGTCCTATGCGAGAGGCTGAGAGAGGCTGGCACTGGCGAGACTCTGTGGCTGGTGGGGGCTCAAGCTCTGTGGTGAGAATTCTCACCGTGGTCTTCAGTTGCCCCTAGAGATGCCTGCAATGGTGTGGGCTGAGTCCCACTCCCCAGATGGGGAGGTGGAGGACCACGGAGAGCCTCTGCACCCACAAGAGCAGGACAAGACGAATGGAATGAGCGGGCAGGGCTGGGGGTGGAGGCACCCTGCACCTCAGGAGCAGGCAGCCAGGCTGCTAGTCTGAGAAGAGACCACGGTCTTGCTGCTCCCAGGCGTGGGGTGTAAACAACTCAGACTTGAGACATTCTTGTGAAGACCCAGTTCAGGGCTGGAGCACATCGTGGGGTTGGTCAGAGACAATCCTCAAAATCCTCTGCCTGGAACCATGGATGCCTACTCCACCAGGGCAGGTGCAGGAAAGAAAAACCGAATAGATTCCAACATCGGAGGACGTGCAGGCCGCACACATGTGTTCAGCCCAGAAAGCAGCATATTGGGGATTTGCAGCCAAGAATAACATGAAGGGGGCCTTGAAAGAGCTATGTTTACAGTTCCCAAGGAGATAAATGAGGGAAGAGCAACAGAGAAACAAGAATAAGCAGAC